ACAAACAAATATCAAGCATCTGCTCTATCCAAGGCTTGTTTTGGATGCTGAAGGATGATACATTGAGGAATTAAATACGGTCCAGTCCTCAAGGAATTTACAGCTTGGAATAGGAAAAATAGGTGGGGACTAAATTTAATATTTAATCTTGACAAATACTATGCAATGACAGAAATACGTAAAATGTGCCAGGAAAATGTAAGAGGAACAAGAAGTTAATCCTCCCTTGAGTTAGAAAGTTGGGGAAGAAGCTTAACAATGTTCAACCCAGAGTGCAAAAGAGTTTTATAGAGGAGGAGAAATTGCATTTCAATCAGAGAAGCTAGTGAGAGCTAGAGCTTATAAGCACTTCGCTATGCCAGGCATTCTCCCAAACATTTCACATGTAGTAAGTCATTGCACTCAGTCACCAAACCCATGGGTGGCTACCATGGTTTAATGTTTCTGTTTCACATAAGATTTGAACATGGGTGTCCTGATTTCAGCACCTGGGCTCCACACTGTGACCCCCAACACTCATGCTGCTATCCTGCAATAGCACAGGCACAGGCTTAGGTGTCTGAAGAGCATAGTGCATTCAGCAAAGAGCAGAAAGTTGAATAGCTTGAAGGATGGTTCCTGTATATAACGGTTTGGAGGTAAAGACAAGCCTGAAAGATGTAATCATCATTAACCACCTTAAACATCACTTTTAATCAACAAGTATTTAAGACCAACGTGACTTATATTTGCCACGACAATAGTGGAGGGAAGGAAGGTGACCTTTGTTTTCTTTTTTCAAAATTGGCAATAGAAAAATTAAACGTTGTGCTAAGAGATGCTGAATCTTTCTCTGTGCTGAAGTGCTTCCCCGATTAACTCTGGGCCTGCCTGGGTACACCCAGCATGGGGCCACCCAGGTGGCTTGGGTAGGTGCTTCTGTTCTTCATCCCTTACACCACATCCCTGGGACCACAGTTGCTTCAGAGGGAGCACAGTGAATATGCTATTGAAGGCAGGTTCAGAAACCTTGTCACTTGAGGCACATAAAGTGAAAGCAAGCTACTTTTTTGAAAATCTCCTCAACAGAACCATTCCCCACTAGAAAAGAAGGATCAGCTGGTTTACTTATGTGACTTGGCCATCCCTGACGTCTGCGATCCTGTGATATGATTCCAATTTGCCTTCACAGAGGGCTGTCTGCTGAATTAATTGTATGTGCTCCTTTGTGCTCGCCTCTAATGTTTATTTCATTACAATATTTACAAAGGGACTTGAGAAATAAGTCACTATGCAAATGGAAGTATGAATACAAGATTCAGAGGGATATTAAAATTCATTAACCTTATTTACATTTAAACTATTATCATGTATATTTGAGCATGGTGCACCTGCCAGAATGGATGTGGAGCCACATCAGCAATCCATTGAATAATCTATTCAGTCTTTATTTCCTTGTCAAGTAAAGTAAAAACTTCCTCATCTTGGACACATTTAAAATCACTACCAAGCTGATTTATTCATTAGCGGTTATTTCTAGAGAAGTCTAATACAAATTTCAAGTTATCCTTTGGCATTTAGAGGATCTACTCCCCTAAAGAATTTTTTGTTCTTTGTGAATTTTGAAGTACAGTATTTCTCTTATCACCCACTTAGAAATGAAGTTGACCAAGCTCATCATTCTGGAGGCTGACCAACAAAGGCTATGCCTGCCTGACCCCCTCCCCCACTTCGGAAACCTCAGTTCTATAAGAAAAGAAAAATTAAGAAAGAAAAACAGTCAAACTGGGGGCTTTCTACTGTTTTTTAGTTCTTTATTCAGCATGGTCTTGATTCAGTTAACATATGGGATCAAGTGGCAGGTCAAAACAGTGAGAAACACCACTATGATGAGATTCGACGCCCTCTGTTGCTATGAGAACTGAATCTCCCTTAGCCCACTTGGCTTTGGGTTATGCAGCCAAAGAGAAAAAAGTGTGATCTGTAACTGCTGTCTGACAGGGTAGATGCAATTACAGGGCAAGCTTTTGTTCAACAAAAATTGTTCAAAACAACTTGAATGCAAGTTGGCAAGTAGACACTGATGAGAGATCAACACAATAGAAGGATGATTTTCTAAAGGTCCAAAAGAGCTCACGATAATGGGAGAAGCCCAGTGGTGTGGGTTGCAAGGTTCAGCAGAATAAGACCCAAGGATAGCACAGCTGAAAAAAGAGAACGGGGATTTCTCATAGACCATTTTTACCTTGTTTCCTCTGGTGTGTAATATAAACACCCCCTCACCACTCCTCCGCATATATTCGTAAAGTCTGTATTTCCATAAAGGCTTTCTGGGTGAGTGGATGCTTTGGAGGGGTGACTTCCACCAAAGTCAATGTGCTGCCAGTGAGTCGGCCACAAGGACCTGGAGCAGAGGACTTAGTGAGAACAACAGACCCAGATAATGTGTGGAAATCTAAGAGATGCCTTGAACATCATCGAGCCATGGAAATGGTGGGTTTGAGCAGTTCTTAAGCTGCAACCTCAGAATCACCTGGAGGGTTTGTTAAAACAGATCCCTGGGCCCCAGCCCCAGAATTCTACCTTCAGTAGGTCTGGAGTAGGCTGGGGCATCTGTATTTTTAGCCAGTTCCCAGATGATGCTGATACTGCTAGAATGGGGGAAACACCTTGAGCATGTTCCTATCCAGCACAGGAGACCTGGGGGGCCTCAGCTGACATGACTTGCTTGATTATCTCCTCAAAGCCCTGCTAACCAGAAGGCAGTGATTCTCCAGTCTGGATGCATGTTTGAATCACCTGGGAGCTTTTACAAACTAGAGATGCCTGGGCCCACCCCTCCAGTTAAATAAAAACTGTTAGAAGTGAGAGACTAGGCCTTGGTATTTATAAAAACTCTCCAGACAGTTGGCTGTATCAGCAGGATCAGGAGGCACTGATGTAAAGAAACCACCAAAGAGAAATTCCTGATAAGCAGAAGCTGTGACACATAGAATTCAGATGTGAAGAATGGACAACACCAGACAATGGGAAGAGAGCAGAATTTAAGGAATCACACCATAGCTGCCCACTGAAAGGACACAAGGGCAGCAGGCAGTCAAGAGTGGAATAGTTCTTTCTGAGAAAGAGCCTGGAGGTCAACATGGTTCAAAATAAGAGTAGGAAGGAGTAAGAGCTTTAGAAATGGTATCTACAAGGTCATCTATAGAGGGAATAAGTCTTTGCATTAGGCCATTCTTGCATTGCTATAAATACCTGAAGCCGGATCATTTGGAGGCTTCCAATCACGGCAGAAGGTAAAGGAAGAACAGACATTTCACTTGGCGGAGTCAGGAGCAAGAGAGCGAGGCAGGAGGTGTCCCACACTTTTAAACAACCAGATCTCGCGAGAACCCACTCACTATCACATGGAGGTACTAAACCATTCATGAGAAGTCAGCCCCCATGATCCAATCACCTCCCAAAAGGCCACACCTCCAACATTAGGGATTACATTTCTACATGAGATTACACAAAATCCAAGCTATATCAGACCTGTAGGAAAAAAGCCTCCATGGCCAGCAAAGCAGTTAAGGCGTCCTCATTTTATGCAGAAGTCTGTAGAGGTTGAGTCAATCACCGCCCAGGCTTGTCTTCTTGGCGTATTTGTTTTCTTAAGGTCAAAAGAAGTGAGACTAGAAGTACCTTTACCCTTGAGCTCCAAAGTCAACCTGCCTGGAACCGAATTCTGTGGCATAAACACTTTTATAGCTCGGTGGTTTCATTACTAGATTTAAAACCTTATATCACCAACAACAGAAGGTCTCTATAAAATAGAAGGCATAGCAATAAAGAAAGACAATTGAAAATGGGAATATATATAGGTGGCACATCTGGCCCAGATGATGGGTAAAATCTGAACCCATCAGATGGCCCATTGGAGTTATCTTGGTACCATGAACATTGCTACTTCTCCTCACTCTGCCCTAGTATTTTCTAAATTGAATCTTTAGTCTCCCTTTACTTGCTTCTTGCTTTTCTCTACTCCCTACCCCAAATATCATTTTTGTATAATCAGGAGTTCCAGCATAGAATCTAAATGTTGTGTCCTATCTGAGTATGTCCAAGAGTTAAAATAGTTCCAGATCCCAGGAAAAGCTGGAGCAATTACCTTTACTTTTCTTAGCCATGCTTTCCCAGCTATTCTATTCAAAGTTGTGTTTATTCGGGGTTGATAGTTAAAATATTAATAATGGGAATTGAAGGGGCAACCATATCCCTACTGGCACCTGCCTACTGAACACCAGTCTGGCATTTAGGACATAGACGACTGCAGTCTGGCATAAACACTTTGAATCCTCAGTAAAATAATAAGTGTTCCAGACCCCAAGAAACAGGGTAAAATGAAAGTTTTATTTTATTGTATATATTTAGGGTGTATAATATGATGTTTTGATATACATACAGTTATGTGTTGCTTAGCAACAGGGATATGTTCTAACAAACATGTTGATAGGAAATTTCGTCATCGTGTGAACATCACAGAGTGCACTTACCCAAACCTAGATGGTAACCAAACCTTTTACCCAGCTATATGGCATAACCTGTTGCTCCTAAGCTACAAACCTGTACAGCATGTTACTGCACTGAATTCTATAGGCACTTGTAACACAGTGGTAAGTACATGGTATCCAAACATATCCAAACATAGAAAAGATACAATAAAAAATGGTACACTTGTATACGGTACTTACCATGAATGGAGCTTGCAGACTGGAAGTTGCTCTAGGTGAGTCAGTGAGTGAGTGGTGAGTGATGGGAAAGCCTAGAACATTACTGTCCACTACTATAGACTTTATGCACATTGCATACTTAGGCTACACTGAATTTATTTTTTTAAATTCTATTAGCTTACTATAACTTTTTTACTTTATAAACTTTAAAGTTTTTTTAATTTTTTACTCTTTTGTAGTAACATTTAGCTTAAAACACACTTGATACAACTGTACAAAAATATTTTCTTTTTTTATATCTTCATTCTATGAGCTTTTTTCTATTTTCAACTTTTTCAATTCTTTTTTTACTCTTTAAACTTTCTTATTAAAAATTAAGACATAAGCACACACATTAGCCTGGGCCTACTCAGGGCTAGGATCATCACTATCACTCTTTCACCTCCCCATCTTGTCCCACTGGAAAATCCTCAGGAGCAATAACAGGAATGGGGGTGTCATCTCCCATGATAGCAATGCCTTCTTCTGGATATCTCCTGAAGGTCCTGACTGAGGCTGTTTACAGTTAATTTTTTTTATATAACTAGATGAAGGACACTCTAAAATTACCATAAAAAGTACAGTGTAGTTAACACCTGATCAGTGACATAGTCATTTATTGTCATTATCAAGTATTAGTACATGATTATATGTGCTCTACATTTATACAAGTGGCAGCACAGTAGGTTTATTTACACCCGCTTGTTTGCAGCACAAGTACGTGAGTAATTGTTGCGCTTCAACATTACTGTGGGAAGTAGAAAAGTTTTTTTTTTCTAGGAATATTTCAGCTCCATTATAATCTTATGAGACCAACTTTGTGTATGGTCTCATAAGATTATACTTTCAGTCCATCACTGACTGAAACATCATTATGCAGCGCATGACTGTACATACGGGCAGTGAAAAGTTACTATAGTCAAGCAAATTAATGTGTCTGTCATTGCGCATAGTTATCCATTTTTGCTTGGTGGCAAGAGCACCTGAAATCTATTCTTTTGGTGAAAATCCCAAGTACAGTTCAATATTATTCAGTATAGACCTCATGTTGTATATTCGTTCTCTAGACTCGTCCATTCTTTGCATCCTCTGAACCGCGTACCTCTCCCTCTCCCGCTCCTGGTTATCACTGTTTTATTCTTTATTTCTGTGTTGAGACTTTTTAAAAAAGAATTTAGTAATGTATCCGTAGCTATGCCACTGTTAAAGAGATCCAGGTGGACTTGTGCTCTTTTAAATACCTTATTACAGCAGATTATGTTACAATAAGGGTTCATTGTATATTTAATTAGCGTTCACTGTACTCTATTTTTAGCTGGGTTATATTATTTCCACACATCTCACCACACTAACATATCCACATATGTCTTCTGGTAAAAACATACACCAGAAAAAAAAACACGATAAAATCAGAAATTACTTTTACTTATGAAAGTCAAACATCTTAAACAAAAGCTGCCCCAACCTCTACTGAATGTGTTTCCCACTCAAGCATTAGTGCTTTTCTAATGGAAGCTGTACCATCCTCAAATTCTTCTTTTTTGTTGTTGTTGTTTTGTTTTGTTTTGTTTTGTTTTTTTGAAACGGAGTCTTGCTCTGTGGCCCAGGCTGGAGTGCAGTGGTGTAATCTCAGCTCACCACAACCTCTGCTTCCTGGGTTCAAGCAATTCTCCTGCCTCAGCCTCCTGAGTAGCTGGGATTACAGGAACGCGCCACCATGCCTGGTTAATTTTTATATTGTTAGTAGATACAGGTTTCTCCATGTTGGCCAATCTGGTCTCAAATTCCTGACCTAGATGATCCACCTGCCTCGGCCTCCCATAGTGCTGGGATTACAGGCGTGAACCACCTTGCCTGGCCCTCAAATTCATCTTTTGTATGCACCTGCTTTTATCTTCTGAGATAAAGAATTACAATGTAGTCATGAAGCAGGGAAGATTTAGGACATTCACTGCCAGAATAAATCAAATCAGACTTAAAGGTAGAAATAATTCATCTTAAAGATATTTCATGAGGAAAAAATAAGTCATTAATTTTAATAGCTTTTAGTATAAACAGGTAAACAAAGTCCCCCGCATATTATTAATCTTTTTATTAACGTGTGTTGAGTTTAGCTATACAGCTCAACTTTTTTAAGTGTTTAAGCCAGCAAATCATCTAAGCTAGCCAGAAAAATCTATTTGCTATATTGTCCCTCTTATCTACATATAGTCAATAGGTAATTAACTAGCCAGGCACGGTGGCTATGCCTGTAATCCCAACCCTTTGGGAGCCTGAGGTGGGCAAATCACTTGAGGTAAGGAGTTCAAGACCAGCCTAGCCAACATAGTAAAACCCCATCTCTACTAAAAATACAAAGATTAGCCAGGCGTAGAGGTGTGCACCTGTACTCCCAGCTACTTTGGAGGCTGAGGCAGGAGAATCATTTGAACCTGGGAGGCTGAGGCTGCAGTGAGCCAAGATTGTGCCACTGTACTCCAGCCTGGGCATGAGAATGAGACTGTGTCAAAGAAAAAAAGTAGCTGATTAGCTGATGCTGGGTTGTTCACATTCTGGATTATTGGTGGCATATCCGATTTTTTAGCTTTGGAGAGTCTTTTTAAATTAAAAAAAATAATAAACTTTATCATGATTTAGAGTGCTCTTATTATGAAAAGATTAATAAAGAGAGGTCCAATGCTTCAGACTGAGGTTCCCCTTGGTAAAAAGGATTAACTCAAATCTAGGAACATGATATTAGTGGTTCACCTAGGGCCCTTGGGAAGAAGGGACTACATCTTACATGACGTTGATTCGAAAGGCAGAATGCCAACTTCTTAATTTACCATCACAGGATATTCCCTCTGGAGGTGATCACCAGGAGGCCAACTCACAAATCAGAAAGATGTGGACCACCCTAGAATTTGGGGTCAACAGTCTTGGTTAGCCTAACATGGGGAAATTCATCTGAAGTATGAAAATGAACCTAAAGCAATGATTCTCAATACCTCACATCAACTCCCAGCATTTCCAAGTCAGTAGGTCTGTAATAGGACCCAAGAATTTGCATTTCTACAAATTCCCAAGTGAGGCTAGGCTGCCAATCACAGGCCCACGACTGGAAGAAACTAGATAAATTTTATCTTTATCCATTTATGTGTATTTTTGCCTGTATAACTAGTATTGGTGTTTAAAACTAAAGTCCCTCTTCCCCTGAACAATGGTGGATTCACAAATGTTTTACTCTCCAGATTAGACATTCTTCATCGATCAACTATAGGACATCTTTATTTCACGTCATAATTCTCAAAAACTTAGTGTACGCTACTTGTGCTTTAGATTAAGACCTTCCTGGTGCAATTATTTGGAAACATGCTATTCTCTCATTATAAACACATTTTGCAATAAGTCTCTTAAATGTGCTGCTTTGGCAGGTTATTTCCATGCATTGTACAATGATTATTGCTAGCTTCGATTTCAGTCTTCAATACTTTACTAATTTCAAGGACTAAAGATGCCATCTAGATCAGTAAGGATTGCATTCATCTATAACTAACAAAAACTTGATTTACAGAAGCTCTGACCTAAATGTTTATTTTTCACATAACAAGAAATCTGAACTGAAACCCTCCAGAGCTATGGCAGCTTTTCAAATATGCCATCAAGGACTCTTACATTCTGTTCTGCCTTCTGATGAATGTTGGATTTGGTCACTTCATTATTACCGCATTGTAACAAAGTGGTTGCAGCAACCCCAGACTCAGATCCTTATTTCAGACGAAAACTGTAACAAAATAAGGAGGAAGAGTACTTATGTCTGAAACTCAAAAGATTGTCGTGAAACCCTCAATTCAAGTCTCATTGGCTGACACCATGAAAAATGATCACTGCTAGTTGTTCAGAAGTTGATCATTTTTAGGTGAATATGTGATTGCCCCTTTCCCCCTAAAACTGGCATTCAACTAGGGAAGAGAGAGGAGAGATTTCATTTACCAGTGCACGCTCCTCTGCTACAGTTGGATATTTTGCCCTGTCAGAACTCAGCTCTCACTAGAATAAAGGACATCAAGACAATTCTGTGAGTCTTCAACCTAGACCCAGGATCACCAGACTGCATCCTAAAGAAAGCAGGCAAGCACTCTTTTCTTCTTTTGCAAGAACTGTAAATCTCACCAAATCATTAGCATTAAATATGCATCATACCAGTGATGCTGAAAGTGCTGCAGAGTTGTGAACACATCTGTGAATAAAAGTATTTTCATCAACTAGTCCTAAAGCAGCCTGCAGGCCCACCCACAGGTAGCCTGGACTCCAGGAAGAGTGTTTCAGTCATTCCCTTAACACATTGCACACTAAGGCATTGCACTGGCTAATAAAAGTTTATGGCACTGAATAAGACATCACCCCTAACCTCAAGGAACTTAGAGACAAATGTGAGAATGACCAGAGTAAGAAGGGGGATGATACACTGGATCTTGTTCCTCTTATGTGCATTTCTTCTCCAACTGTATCAGGGAAGCCGATCTCTGTATAAAGAAACACAAGGTGGGGCCGGGAGCGGTGGCTCACGCCTGTAATCCCAGCACTTTGGGAGGCCGAGGCGGGTGAATCACGAGGTCAAGAGATCGAGACCATCCTGGTCAACATGGTGAAACCCCGTCTCTACTAAAAATACAAAAAAATTAGCTGGGCATAGTGGCGCGTGCCTGTAATCCCAGCTACTAGGGAGGCTGAGGCAGGAGAATTGCCTGAACCCAGGAGGCGGAGGTAGCAGTGAGCCAAGATCGCCATTGCACTCCAGCCTGGGTAACAAGAGCGAAACTCCTTCAAAAAAAAAAAAAAAAAAAAAAAAAGAAACACAAGGTGATGTATTGGGTCATAATGAAACAGAATTCCTGGCCTATGGCAGCAGAGCTTCACTGTCCAATCACTGTGTCTCCTCTGTTCTCAGGAAAACTACCCTTCAAACCCAATGTGGCACAGCAGCAAAAGGCTCAAGCTCTGGGGTTGGCTCCTGCTTTTCTACTCACCTGTAGGAACCTCAGGCAGGTGCTTAACTTCTGCGGCATAGTCTTTCCACCTGAATATGAGCATGATGATAACAGTATCCAACGTAGAGCATTTGTCATGGATTTCAAACATATGTACAAAGTTAGAACTGTGCTTGACAGATAAGCACTAGAGGAGGATTAGCTGGTGCTTACAAACAGCAAGAAACTGAGTTTCTTCACCGATAGGACTACATATTCATACCCCGCATCAGGCAGTGCCTGGACCTTTTTCATCAAAATACCCAAATTCTTGCTCAGGAATTTCCACTGTAAAAGGAAGACTGTGTTCCACATCCCATGGCCTGTGCCTAAGATCAGTCTCAATGGGCATCAAATATTTTGTTTTTCAGAGCAGAAAGCCCCGGGATGGGCTTTCTCACTTTTACAATAAAAGAGCTGGCAGGACCCAGGGAAAACAGTTCCTCTCTTTAGAGGAGAGTCTCAGATACAAAACAATTGAAGTAGAAACTCAACTTCATTAGAATTCTTTTGACCACCTGAGCTCATTTCTCCATGTGCTTAAACAATGCAAAACAAGCCCAAAGGACTCAGCCTGGCAAAAGTCGAAACATAAGGAGTATTATTTTAACCTTAAACTAGCAACTAAAAGACTCCCAACCAGGCTCTCCCAAGTAGATCTGGCACTCGCACTCTGAGACTTCGGATTTGGCTGCAGCTGGTTCCAAAATGTTGAGCTAAGGTTTACGAGCCTCAGGTACCCTCGCTACCAGTGATGCCAGCCAGGCTTGGCGCTCATCAGCTCACTCACAGACACAACCAGCTCCCTGAAGAGGAGGATTTTCACAGTCCAGGGCAGTCCAAGATGAAAACAGAAACATTTCCTCTCACACTAACATATAAAGGAGTCCCTTGCAGTCAATGTTCCAGGCAATGCATTAGTCTCTTCCTTTAATCTTCCTGAGTCCAAGGCTGTGTGTACTTCTTCTCTCTGTCTAATCATGAGGCCTAGCCCTGCATCTCAAGCCCTGTGGGTGTTCAATAAATATTTGCTAAATATATAAATGCCTCATAATCCAAAGGCCACCTTGGGTGTGATAACTGCTGGCTGATTATCTCTGAATGAGATCTTCCCGACTGCATCCCATTCCAAAAAATGATTAGAGGCAGCCTCCACGGGCACACGAGAGAACTACAGCCAAGAGAATCTTGGCCCTGATTTCAGCATTCAGCACCACAGGGACCTAGCCTTGGAAGCCTGACAGAGAATCTATACCAAGAGTCTTGTCTGATGAGGCCCTCAAGGATGAGGGAGGAAGGAGTGCCAGGTTGGCTCAGCTGTTTAGATCCCTTCGCACTATCCTCTCCTTGATTTGTCAGGTTAATCACAGCTGCCTAAATCCTACTAAAATTGGGAAATGAATGCACAGTAGCACTGTTCCATTATCCCATTAGGGATACATCCTATTCCGATTTCCATTCCAGTAAGCAGATAGAAGTGCTCATTCATCACCCTTAAAACGTGCTCATGAAGGCCTGGCCATCTCAATTGTTCTCCTTACCTTGAGAACAGATGTAAAGCTGCAACTCCCATCTGTCACCATGATTGAATTCCCTCCAGCTTTGGGCGATTCCGTGGGTTGCCTCGCTCCAGAGAGAGAAAAGAGATTTTCTTGATTCCCTTTTCTGAACACTTTCTATTCACTTAGGCACAAATCTCTCCGCTTTCCTACATTTTGTGGTTGTCTCAGCATGGCTGCTTTCTGCTGGGGGACATTTGACATTCATGTTGGCTGCTTCTATGTTTGGCACATTTTTATCTAAAGAACTTGCTATCAGAGCTAAAAATAAATGATAGGTACTTGCTCTCCTAGTATTATTTATAACTGGGATCAAATTTGTAACTAAAGTTTCAGCAAAAAAAGACCCATCCACACTGGACTTGACTCAGGAAAAAATGGGGAGTGTCTCTCTCTCTTTTTCTCTCTCTCTCCCCCTCCTTCCCTCCCTCTCTATCATGCAGTGGCAGCAGAGGGCAGTGGCTACTAGGTTCAGTCCTTGACACAAGGATTGGGAGCAGGGTGGCAGGTGGGGAGTATTGTCAGCATTGGTTGGGCTAAATGATTCTCTGGTGCAAAGTGGTACAAATGTTTGCATCTATACCTTGGTGGAAGCTAAAAACCAGCTCTGATTCAGCATTTGGGATGTAGATTACCTCTGGCTTGGCACTGCAGCCCTCCCAAAAATTCTGGAAGTTACTCTATATACTTTTGACAAATGCTTTTTCTGCTTAGTCACCCAGAATCAAAGTCTATTGTTTCTAACTTAGAGCCCTGACTGACACAGTAAATTTCCTGCAGAACTGATGCTTTTCCCCAAATTCTCCTCTCATAACAGTGATGATTTTGGGCCCCCCGTGTAAAGTTGAGTATAAAGCTTTATTCAGGATACAATTTTCAGACACCCAGATGGGCACATTGAGATGGTTCAAGTGAAGCCCATCTCACCCAGCTAGTGAGTAGAAGAGTGGAGCCTTGGATCCAGGTTTTCTGACTCCAAGTCAAGTACTTTTTTTAGGGACAGGGTCTCACTCTGTTGCTCAGGCTGGAATGCAGTGGTGCAATCGTAGCTCACTACAGCATCAAAGCCCTGGGCTCAAGTGATCCTCCCACCTCAGCCTCCCAAGTAGCTAAGACTGTAGGTGCATAACACCAAACCCAGGTAATTTTTTTTTTCTTTTTTTTTTTTGTAGAGAAGAGGGTCTCACTATGTTGCTCAGGTTGATCTCAAACTCCTGGCCTCAAGTGATCTCCCCTGCCTTGGCCTCCCAAAGTACAGAATTACAGGTGAAAGCTGTTCTGTTTCTCTCAGCACAAAGAAACAAATCCCTCTCGAGTTGTCAAGCCAACTTAACTGAGTACTGTACTTAACAATCATTTGTAACAACTTCAATATTATACTAAAAGTAGGAGCTACACATCTTTGCTCAATGAAAATCTGACATGTTGTTTCTCGTTGTCACACAGTGCAGATCATTGCTAATACCACAGCTTTGCAGGCCACCCAAGGCAGAGCTGGTGCCAAAACTGCAAAACCTTTTTTCACGCACAGCTAATTGGCTGCTTCTCTGTAGTGTGTATCTGTGTGTCTGCTCCCACCCATGGAGTTGTATTCTTGTCAAGAATCAGTTGTATTTGTTCTGAAACCCACCTAGGACCATTGTACTTGTTATTGCAAATCATAATTGAATAAAATATGGGGAAAGCCAATGAAATACGAATATTTTAAATTTTTTATTGTTTTGAAAAGATTCAGTAGAGGCAAGTCACTAAAACTGCTGAGGAATTAGGAAGTTTAAAACTTCCAACTGTAAAGTCATAAAAATAAAGAAAGATTCTGTCCTCAGAATGCTTTCCAATAGTCTTTTAATTCTCAATTCAGAGTCTCATTCTGATTCTTAAAGTTCTCCATTTAAAGACACTGACACTGGCAATTATGGAAGATGCATTATGTATATAGTTTATGTAACAAAAAAATAAAGGTATTCCAATCAGCACAAGACTTAGAGAACGCCCTGAACCTTCCTCATAATATTGAAGAGTGAATATGCCTCTGTGTGCTTTAGAGTACACTTAAATGTAATGCATAAATTATTATGCACCCTTTTTTGTGACTCCCCACTTTCAGCTGTCAGTTGGTTAGCTGGGTCCAGTTGCACCACACAGGAAAGCAGCCACTTTTCTTTTTTTGCATCTCTCTTCTGGAAGAGAAATCCACCTGTTCCGGATGATGCAGTTATGGGACAGAATTCATTATCTGTCATGTGTCTGGGTGCTGTTGATTTACCTTTCTAGACCATTTTTGCTGTGTACACCAGTTTCTGTGAGGTGGGCTCATCCTCCCATTCATAGACAGAGAACTGGGAATTTATCACTTGCAGAATTCTCAGAGACATGGCCGGGCACAGTGACCCAAACCTGTAATCCCAGCATGTTGGAAGGGAGAGACGGGTGGATCACCTGAGGTCAGATGTTTGAGAACAGCCAGATCACCATGGTGAAACCCTATCTCTACTAAAACTACAAAAATTAGCTGGGCATGGTGGTGGACACCTGTAATCCCAGCTACTCAGAAAGCTGAGGCAGGAGAAGCACTTGAACCTGGGAGGTGGCGGTTACAATGAGCCAAGATTGTGCCACTGCCCTCCAGCCTGGGCAACAAGAGCAAAACTCCATCAAAACAAAAGGAAGGAAGGAAGGAAGGAAGGAAGGAAGGAAGGAAGGAAGGAAGGAAGGAAGGAAGGAAGGAAGGAAGGAAGGAAGGGAGGGAGGGAGGGAGGGAGGGAGGGAGGGAGGGAGGGAGGGAGGGAGGGAGGGAGGGAGGGAGGGAGGGAGGGAGGGAGGGAAAGAAAGAAAGAAAAGAAAAGAAAGAATTCTCAGAGACTTAGCCCTCTTAAAGAAATCATCAATTTATGTTTTGTCATATGTAGGAAGGTAGTCCTGAGACAACACTAAGTGATGTAAAGTTTTATGTCTGAATCAATCCAAATATACCAGGTTATAATCTAGAATTTTTTAAATGGTGGCAAGTTTTATGATCTTCTATAGAGCTTAGTGGAAACTGGGTAAGGAGCATGCCCAATTTCCTACTGGTAGCTATTTGTCATGCAAGTACATGGTCATTCAGAATTTTCCTTCAATGTAATAGAATAATCCATACATTCTTTTATATTCAAAAGTTATTAATTAAGCAACTATTATGCATTAGAAACTATTCTAGACATTGAGGCTACAATGGTGAACAAAATAAAATTCTACTCTCATGGAGGCTATATTCCAGTAGAATCATTTATTCTCCCTACCAGTGAGCTCCTAGAGAATACAAACTGTATCTAAATCATCTTTGTACTTCTAGCACTTAGCATGGTGTCTGGCATTTTATCCAATCACAGCATTAAAGGGATAAGAAGTCTCTGCAAACTTTATATAAACATTCTAAATCTATGAATGCACATTGACATTAACCATTTTGTCTTCTTCCTACAACAGCCACTATTGGAAATTAATATTTCCAATGCTATTTTTACTTTTCTGGTTCATGGATTATTTTAGTAGAGAAATTTTAATTCAGCAAATATTCAAATGCCTGCTTTGCACCAGGCATTGTGCTAGAGACCCATTGGCTTTAGGATAGAACAGCATCCAATCTTCACACTGATTTCTCTCTTAAAGAAACAGACGTTCTCTTTAAATCTGCCTGCACAGCAAGGACTTCTCACAGCTTATGAGAAGAAAGTTATCATGCAATTCTGGGTACCCCTTTTCCTATCACTCCCAAAAGAAAGTTATTTTCTGGAAACAGTAGAAAAAAAGTAACTTGCCTCCATGAAACCTGATCATTTGTTTGGGGATGTTGTTTTCTAGAACTGGCAACTGTGCAATCTGCTTGTGGAGCTGCAGAAATGGTGTGGGCAAGGCTGAGGAGGAGAGCAAGGTTCTGCTCAGACACACCCCTCCTGCCCTTCCTGGGTTCCCAGACAACTTGCCAGTAGAGTAATAAAGATCTTCTCCACTTTCTGGAAGCTTTATATGGAAGTATTTGTCTACTTTTTAATAAGTAAAGTTAACTGCAGTTTTAACAATATTATTTCTAATATTAATATTATTTAAATTATAATAATTTATCATAATAATGAAATATTATTTAAAAGTATAATGAAGTTATTATACTGAATATTGGTCTAAAAAAAGGTAGACATCTGGGAGTGTTTGGTGGTGAGAGCTAAGACTTGCTGAAACTTTCAGGAGGTGACTTACACCAAACATCCGACTGAAAAACTATAACCTTCAGTCGATGATCCAGATCTCCCAAAGACATAAATAAAACACACTCACCTAATAATAATGGGGAATACATGTCATTTTCATTTCTCAGAACCCATAGAAAGTACAACACAAGAGTGAACCCTAACGTAACTGGGGTCTCTGGGTGATAATGACACATCAATGCAGGCTCATCAGTTGTGACAGAGGTACCACGTCAGTGGCCAGTGATAATGGAGAAGGCTACACATGTGGAGGCAGAGGATATACAGAATATCTCTGTTTCTTTGGCTCAATTTTGCTGTGAACCTAAAACTACGCTAAAAAATTAAATCTGAGGGGAGGACTCAAGATGGCGCTGTGAGAACAACCCAGGATTGAAGCTCTCAGTGAATGCACAGAGAGGTGAGTCAGAGCTGCATTTCCAGACTGATCTTTGTTGCCCACAGAACAGGGAAATTCCCAGGTATAAAGGAGATGCGGGATGCCAGGCAGAGGTTTCGTCTGGTGCAGCCGGCAGCCGAGGTGGCAGCGGCCAGCCCTACACAGCACTCTACACAGGGCACGCTTGTCCGGGTGCCCTGTTGATTACTGAGGCAATCTGCCCCTACTGAGATACACGCCCACTGCTGACGCAGCCTGCCGTTGCCGAGGCAACCCGATACAACAGAGAGACTCTGCCGCAGGGTGTAGCCCGTGGCAGCAGGGCTAAGACCGCAGCAGAAGAGCAGAGCCTGCAGCAACAGGGTGAACCTCACAACAGCAGGGCAGAGCCTCAGCAGGCAAATAGTGACTAGACTTCCTCCTAGCTGGGCAGGACACCTCAACGGACATCCAAAAATAAAGCCCCAACCCCCCAAGACAGAGCATCTGAGAAAAAAAGGGTTTTTTAATGAGCTCTGTTGCAGCAGAATTAAACATAGCAGCCTAACAGCCCTGAACGAACAACAGAGCTCACAGCTCAGCAATTGAGCTCCTAAAAAGTACAGACTGTCTCCTCAAGCAGCTCCCTGACCCCTCTATATCCAAAAGACTGACATTTGGCAGGCATCATCCTGGGACAAAGATAGCACAAAAAGAAACTGGTAGCATCCCTCACTGTTCCGCGGCTAACATAGGTGCACCCCAGACAAGCAGGGCCTGGAGTGGACCTCAGTAGTCGTACACCGAAGGGGCTAGACTGGTAGAAGGAAAACCAAGTAACAGAAATACTTCATCACCAACAATCTGGGTGTCCACTCAGAGACCCAATCGAAAAGTAAGCAACTACGCAGACGACAGGTGGATAAATCCACAAAGATGGGAAGAAACCAGCACAAAAAGGAGGAAAACACCCGAAACCAGAACACCTCGCCTCCTAGAAAGGAGCAAAACTCCTCACCAGCAAGGGAACAAAGCTGGATGGAGAAGGACTGTGACGAAATGACGGAATTAGACTTCAGAAGGTGGATAATGAGAAACTTTTGTGAGCTAAAAGAACATGTATTAAATCAATGCAAAGAAACTAAGAACCTTGAAAAAAGATATGAAAAAAGATTCGAGGAAATGATAACAAGAATGGATAACTTAGAGAGGAATATGAATGAATTAAAGGAGCTGAAAAACACAATACGAGAACTTCGCGAAGCATGCACAAGTTTCAATAGCCGAATTGACCAAGCAGAAACAAGAATATCTGAAGTCAAAGATCAACTCAATGAAATAAAACGAGAAACCAAGATCAGAGAAAAAAGCGCAAAAAGGAATGAACAAAGTCGCAAAGAAATGTGGGACTATGTGAAAAGACCTAACCTACGTTTGATAGGTGTACCAGAAGGGGACGAAGAGAATGAATCCAAGCTGGAAAATACTCTTCAGGACATTATCCAGGAAAATTTCCCCCACCTAGCTAGACAGGCCAACACTCAAATGCAGGAAATACAGAGAACACCACAAAGATATTCCGCAAGAAGAGCAACCCCAAGGCACATAATCATCAGATTCAACAGGGTGGAAATAAAGGAGAAAATACTAAGGGCAGCCAGAGAGAAAGGTCGGGTCACCCACAAAGGGAAGCCCATCAGACTCACAGCAGATCTCTCGGCAGAAACACTACAAGCCAGAAGAGAGTGGGGGCCAATATTCAACATCCTTAAAG